TCAGGATGATATTTTCTAGTTCCATCCATTCACCTGCAAACCTCATAGTGTCATTGTTTTTCTCTGCTGAGTAGTACTCCATTGTGCACATGTACCACATTTTATTTATCCATTCTTCAGTTGAAGGGCATCTAGGTTGTTTCCAGGTTCTGGCTATTACAAATAATGCTGTTATGAACATAGTTGAGCATGTGTCCTTGTGGTATGATTGAGCATTCCTTGGGCATATGCCCAAGAGTGGTATAACTCCAGGGAGGCTACCTAGTAAAGAGGAACCTAAGAAAGATACAGGGATTGCCCAACAACAAAGAAATGAATGAGATCTACATGAGCAAACTGGGGGTAAGGGTGGGGGTAATGGAGGGCAAGGATTAGGGGAAAGAGAGCTTAGGGGAGCAGGAGGTCCCAGCTAGATCAGGAACAGAGTGGGAGAACAAGGAATAAGAGACCATGATAAATGAAGACCCCCATGGGAATAGGAAGAAGTAGAATGCTAGAGAGATCCCCAGAAATCCACAAAGATACCTCCACTATAGACTACTGGCAATGGTCGAGAGAGTGCCTGAGCTGACTTGCTCTGGTGATCTGATGGCAGAACACCCTGACTGCCATGATAGAACTCTCATCCAGTGACTGATGGAAGCAGATTCAGAGATCCAAGGCCAAGCCCCAGGTGTAGCTCCAGGAGTCCAATTGGCTTGAACTATTTAGGAGGCCCCCAGGCAGTGGGACCGGTGATATGGATTCACAACATGCCCCCATGGTTGGGCATGGTTGTGCATGCCTGGCGGACCTAGGCACTTCCACCCAGCCGTTTTTGGGGTCAAAACATCTTGTGTGACCGGGACCCCTTGGCTTTGCTTGGTTGCGAAAAGCACACAGTGCAACCATGTGATCTACGCGCATGCATGGAATAGCCACATGGGCCTGTGTGTGCAGGTGTGGCCCAGACTTTATAAGCCTGCGCCATGATTCCTGACTCCATCTTTACTCACGTGTCCTTTCCACAGGCCTGTGCACATATGTCTCTCTCCCTTATCTTAATAAAACTCTTCTTAGTGGATTCTGTCGTGTTTCATGACATTTCTTTGCAGGGTAAGAGCGCCGTAAATAACCAACAACCGGGACCTTGCTGCATGAGCTGGCTTTTTGGAACCTGGGGCCTATGCTGAGACACTTTACTCAGCCTTGGTGTAGGGAGGAGGAGACTGGACCTGCTTCAACTGAATCTACCAGGCCCAGCTGACTACCCAGGGGAGACCTTGCCTTGGAGGAGGTGGGAATGGGGGGTAGGTTGGGGGGGGGGAGAGGCTGGGGGATGGGAGGACAGGGAAATCTGTGGCTGATATGTAAAATTAAATTAATTATAAAATAAAAAATATTTTTAAAAATTCTATGACTAACGTAGACAATTCTCTGGCTCTCAGCAGAGCCTAAAGTAAAGTGGGGCTCCTGTCCAATAATCTTCGACCACCTAGTAGCTCTCCTGTTTCCACAGACTCTGCTAAGACTCCTTGTCTTCACTCTCCCTAAAGGGCAGGCCTGGCTCTAGCAGTCACAGTTGCCACAAAGCTCACAGTGAGCAGGGGGCACAGTGTGGCAGGCACAGTTGGCCTGCTGATCTAGGGAGGAGGAAGCAAGGCTGTGGAGGCGGAAAAGAGTGTGCTGTAAGGTAGGGAAGACTGAGGAAAGAAGGGCTGGCCTCTGAACAGCACCCTCGGGTGGAGCTGGATATCACCTTGCTCAGCAATGCTCCGTGGGCCCAGATAGGAAGCATAACACAAAGGCAACAACTTTCACTTCTAAAGAATTTTCTGCTGGCCATTCTGACTGCGTCTAGGGTGGGTCTGATGGATCTCGTTTTCTCTATAGCAGGCTATGTCATTTTAGGTATACAACTTTTTAAAAATAATAACAAGGAACTTTTAGAATTATACGTAGGACACAATCAAACCCATCCAGAGTCTGTGGAACGCTGTAACGCACGGAGACAGATTAACAGTGGCTCAGAAAAACACTCGCAGAGACTAAAAAAAACCAGCAAGTAAAATTTCATACATTTCAATTTCATTCTTTTAAGAGCATTAGGTGTACGTTAAGTAGTTGTGCAGGTTTCTCAGGGTATGAGGTAACTGAAACTGTGAAATAGGGACTGGACGGAACGTGGCCTGCTGCCACCTGGTGGCAGAATTGCGCCATTGATGAAGACAGGTTTGAAGTCAAATTGGGTTCTTCAACAAATACTAACTTGGAAAAACTATTTGAAATTCAATCACTTCCTCCTTAAAAAAGAATCAAGCTAGGAATTGTGGCACATGTTTGTAATACCAGCACTTTGGAGGCTGAGGTAGAAAGCCCATAAGTTCAAGACCAACCAATGCTACGTAGTATGAGGTCAGCCTGAAACACATGATGAAACTCTTTCAGCAGAGAAACAGACGGAGAGCTGGACATGGTGACTTGTGCAGATGATCTCAGTACTCAGAAGGTTAACACACAAGTTTGAGGTCAGCCTCACAGTGTTTTCGGGTACATGGTGAGTTCCACAGTCTAGGGTACAGTGTGAGGCTCTATATCAAAATCAAACAATTCCCCTCAATAAATGAAAATTACTATTGATTTAAATTATAATATTAAGAAAAATGATGAGACATATACAAGTGGAATCATATGAGACTAACATTTAAATTGGTGGTCTAAAGATTATCCTCCATTAAGTTGTTAGGCATCATTCAATCAGTGAAGTCCTTAATGTTAAGGAAAAAGCCTTTTCCTTTTCTAGTGGGAAAGGATTCTGCCAGTGGACTGCCTTTAGACTCCAATTACAATGATTCCCTGAGTCTGCAAAATTTGAACTAATCCAAACCCACTCCATAATCTCATGAGCCAATTCCTCAAGCTGGCCTCTTTCTCTGTGGTCATGTGTGTATGTATGTTATCCCAAAGAAAGCGCTAACATGTGTGAAGGTGGCAGATGACTTACTAGAATTTTTGAAAATGATAACTTCACTACAGCTGGGGGGGATCACTCATATGGTGAGAATTTAAAATTTCAAGAAAGGTTTGTTCTCTCAGCATTTTCTCTAGCCCTCTGAAGTTAAAGTTAGAGGTGACTGTTGATCTGTTTCCATTTTCCTGAGAGTCTTCCTTATTACACCCCCAGATCACTAGCTTCATTCTTATGAAAGAAGGCTAGTTTCAATCCTCACACAAGAGCCCTGGAAGTAAAAAGATGAAAAGAGGAGACAGAAACAGGACAAGGAGCTCGGGGCAGGAACCTGAAGCAGCAGTCCCTCGGTTCTCTGGCCAGGAATGGCAGAAGGGAGCTTCTGTTTCTCATCTCGTCCTAAATGAGGCCCTCTGCATGGAGGCAGTACCCGGGGGTGGGAGCTGAAGCTCCAGTGCAGACAGTAATCGCTCGTGTCTAACAGCTCTGGAACTGGATCTCTATACTTTCATGCTGAAAGTGGCTTATAGCTATTCCTCAATACGAGCCATTGCTTGCTTTTCAGTGGTCTTTTCAACAGGTAGGTCAAGGAAACAATTTTCAGCCTTTTGCTTCACCAAATGGGAGTGTGAAGTCCATATACAGACGATTTTCTCTGGACCAGTAAGGTACTATAGTTCAAGACAACATGAGAATACACTTTTCCATGGTTGACTTTCTTATCTTATGCATAGGTAAGACCAATCAAGTACAGGGACACACCACATTCTTCATACTACCAGAAATTTAGTGTGGATTAGGTTTTTCTCCAAACATGCCTACATGTATTGTTTTTCAAAGGTACAACAACCATTCTTCCATTCCTGGACCTTTATCCGATGTCATTGGGTAATTTGCCACAATTTTGGAAGCCGTACAGTTTTTCATGAGCAGGTTAGATCGATTATCTTTCTATAATTAAAATGCATTTAGTATAATTGAGTGGGAAATGGTTTATTACTAACTTTAAAAAAAGCACAGCTTAATTAGCTTAAAATAGACTGGTACTGGTCTGGCAAGATGGTTCAGAGGGTAAAGGGGCTTGCCAACCTGAGTTCAGTCCTTGAGAGCCATGCCATGGAAGTGCCGCCCATTCCCGACAGCTGTCCTCTGACCTCTACATGTGGGCACTCGCATACATATACTAATTGTGCACAAATACATTAACTGAAAAGTTATAACTAGACTGGTACCGAGATTACAGAATACTAATTGATTTGTTCTTATCCTTTTTTTTTTTTTTTTTGGCCCGGGTCAGCGTCTTCTTCTCCCCCAAACACGGAAGCAGTTGTTTTCAAACCTGTGATGAGAATCCATAGGATGGAAACTGTTTGGGAGAAGGGTGTCTTTTTACCCTACAAGCGGCTCAAGTCCTCCAGGTGAGTTTAGTGGGCAGGTAGTGCCAAACAGAGCCCCCCCATTTAGGTATGTGGTTATTTATTTATTTTGGTTTTTCGAGAGAGGGTTTTTCTGTGTAGTCCTGGCTGTCCTGGAACTCGCCCTGTAGACCAGTCTAGCCTTGAACTCACACAGATCCACTTGCTTCTGCCCGCTGAGGGATTAAAAGCGTGTGCCACCACCGTCCCGCTAAAATTCCCCTTAAGGAAATCGTACAAGACCAGAAATCGGTCAAATCCCTTGGTTTTCCTGCAGAACTCTTGATCGCCTTAAAAAAAAAAGTTGTTCCAGGCGTCTGCGCTTGCCTGGAGACTGACAGGACCGTCGGCTAGTGGGCAGTTTGGACGAGTTATGATCGACCCAGTAACAGAGAACATAACAAAACACCTTCCATCAGTGATGATAACGGGCTTCTAAGGCACAGACCAGCACGCTAACAAAGGGCGCAGGCTCTGGGACCCGCGTGGAAGACGCTGATCGCTTCAGGTCTTAAAGCGAGACCAGTTCCCGCCCCTCCGAGACCGCTCTGCGCCCACCTAACGTCACTTCCGCCAGGCGGCCTCCTACGCGTCACTTCCGCCCTCTCCTTCTCGTAGTGGAACGGGCGAAGTTGAAGCAACTTCCTTTTCTTTTTCCCTACTTCCTCTCCTTGCCTCCGCCTCCGGGAAGCTCATTCCCCTACACCGCAGGTCTGAAGTGAGGGATGGGATTCCCACACCGGCCTGTGTGAATAGCCGCTGGGAGCCGCGCGCCCCGCGGCGTGAGCAGCGGGAGCCCAGGTTCGCCCTGGGGTCGGGTTGTGATGGCGGGGAGTCCCTCCGGCGGACTCCCGGGTCCCCTCTTGCAGGCCCGTAGCTAGCCACGCCGAAGCTGCGTTCGTTGGCCGCTTTCCAGTCAAGTTGGGGCTCCCTGCTCAGCTCTCGTCTCCTCTCTTTCCAGGCGAGGTCCGACTCGGATTGCTGCTTGCCATCGATGCCGCCTTGTCCTGGAGCTTGAATCGGAAGCCAGCCGGGTGGAGTTTCGTGATGGCCGGATTTCTCGCCAAAGGACTCTAGCATCCATTCCGCCTCCTTGGAGCCTCGGAACCGGAGTCCGGTAGGGGATACTAAAAGTGCACCTCGTTTGTACAGATGAAGAAACGGGAATTGTTGGCAAATGCGGTCTCTTAAGGCAACCCGGCTTCCCAAACGAAGCGCTGGCATGCTCACCTAGGTCTGACATTTTTGGAGCTACGAAGAGAGCCTTTTATTAAAAGGAACTGTAAAGAGCACGCTTGCATAGTGGTGCATAGTGTTTATCTGACATTATGATAAACTATTTTTATGATTATGTCATCTGTCCGTTACAGTTAAGTCTAGCAAGCATATTGTTATTCTTGGTTTAGGAAACAGGTTCAGAGATAACTGACTTGTATAGGATTAATGACTTCGCTAACATTCCCCACATCTCTTTCAGCTCTTGAGTCTCCGAACACTTTAATGTTAACTTCTGTCATAAAGAAACTGTCTTTCTCTTTATTTTTGTGTCTCAGGAAGTGGAGTCCTAAAATTTATTCAGTCCCTTCATTCTTTGACTATTATTTTTATTTATTTATTTTTTTGAGACAGGGTTTCTCTGTGTAACTTTGGAGCCTTTCCTGGAACTCATTCTGTAGCCCAGGCTGGCCTCGAACTCACTGAGATCCGCCTGCCTCTGCCTCCTGAGTGCTGGGATTAAAGGCGTGCGCCACCACCACCCGGCTTCATTTCTTATTAACATCTTATGTAGAAATCTGCAATCCTGTCAGTTCAGCTCCCATTTCTCACAGATCCCGCCCCACTGGTTATAGGATTTGTGCTTCTAGATGTGGAATAAATTGCTAGTTTTTATACATAGGTACTCTACATTGTTGCTTACTTTGCATGTCTTAGTTCATATTTTTTGTTTTTTTCCATTCAGGACAGTGACTCCCAGCTTATGCCGAGATGTCGGGGATTGGAAATAAAAGAGCTGCTGGAGAGCCAGGCACATCTGTGCCTCCAGAGAAAAAGGCAGCTGTTGAAGATCCAGGGACCACAGTGGAAACAATTAAGCTCGGGGGTGTCTCTTCAACGGTATGAGAAACCATGCTGTGAAAGTGTGCTTAGCTTCTGTCAGTTGGAACCTGAAAGTGAAAAATTATGGAAGCTTTTTGAATTAAGGGGGAGGCATTAGAAAAGAAGAAAAGAATAGGTGAAATGATGTGATCAGTTTCTGAAGTGAGGTGTATTGATGTTTCATCTGTATTTGCAAGGTGTTTCTCTGTGTTCTTTTGAGAGTCTGGTGGCTAATATCGTCTTTGTTATAGTTCGTTTGCATTTTTCATTTACTGAAAATTTAGTGCCATGTTCTGAGAGGCACTCTAGCAAAGAGAGTGCTGGTGCTGAATGAGAGTCAGATCAGCAACCTAGGGAGTGCTCTCAGCCTTGTCTCTAAGCTGCATGGCCTGTGTTATTTGCCCTGTGCCTGTGTTTGTTTGTGAAATGAATCTGCAGTGTCTGTGTCTGACAGGTTATGATGGAGACAAAGTGGGAGTCCCTGTAAAGAGTTAAAACATTGCTCTGAACATAGTAAGTATGCAAGAAGAGTGAGCTGTTAGATGTTACTGGGCTAGGTAATGCGATAGACAATAAAGTATTGTTTCTTTTATGGCTAGTAGTATCTTTAGGCATCAGAAGCTTAGAGTTTGATGTAGATAAGATTCTGTATTTGGCTTGGTCAAGGGAATATAGTGTGCCGACACTTTCCATTTGTATTTCTTGTGCATATTGACGCTGAGGTTCAGAGAAGTTGATTTTGTTTTTCAGTCAGAATAAGATCTTGCTTAGTAAATTATTAATGAAGTGTCATTTAGGGAGCTGCCCTGGGTTCTAGTACTCCATCCTGCTGCCAGAAGGTGGTTTTGTCTTAGCAGCATTTATTTGTGCACCCTGCATGCATTTATGCCATTCTCCAGCACCTGCTATTTGCTGGTCGCTATGCTTTACAGACCGTAGACTGTAGTTTCCAGAGTGGTACTGACAAGCAAATAGGTTGATGATGGAAGGAAAGCAGAACACACATCCCTGCTTGGACTTCAGCCAGAGGGCAACAAGGAGACCCAGGAAGCTCCTGTGGAAGCACGGATTATCACGTGTGCACCTAGCAGAATTGTTTCTCTTGTTCTTTCTTACACCCCCACCCCCACCCCTGACAGCCTCACCTTTCCTGTCTCTTCTGAGGGTAATAACTCCTTTTATGCACTTTTAAAGTTTTTATAGTGAGCCAGCTGAGGGTTCGAGGCAGGAAAAGTGAGAATCTAATGTCCCTCTGAGTTGTGAACTCTTGCAGTATGAATGGAGCTGTCCACTCCAGCTGTTTTAACCCAGGCTCCTGACAAAACAGCACAGAAATATTTGCTCCAAACAGAAGGGCATTGGAGTTGTCCAAATGAGAGATCACTGTGAACTGGATTGAGGAGGCAGCATAGACAGAATTCCTGACAGACTGGATGCAGCACTTGAAACGGAAGATCCGTGTAGGATTGGGGGAGTCAGGCTTTTCTTACTGGGCAAGAGAAGAACATGAGAGGAGTATGTTCAGGAGCTGTGGAGAGTGAATTAGCTTGTTTTGGTTTTGAACATTAAGGTATCTTTTAGAAATAGGGAGTTGAGTGTAGTAACTTATAACTTAGACCATGGAGACAAGTCTGATTTGGAGGGGACGCAAATGAAGAATGTTTTGATTGGAGTGAAAGGAGACATTGCATTCAGCACCAGGTAGTTGACTGGAGACTGAAGACCTCTGCTGAGATCGTGGTGAGGCCCATCGCAGTGAGCTTAAGAACATGAGAGGAGTTAGGGAGACTGGGTGGAGATAGCGCTTTGGGAGGTGTTTGGTCACAAGGTCAAACAAGCTACAGGTGGCAAAAACACGTTTCTCCATGGAGGCACACGGATAACAACAGCTGAAGTAAACTCGCTTCTGTGTTCCACGTCTGGAAGGAGCATGAGAACACATTCCAAGAGCGATTCTGTGTTTTGAAGAAGCCGAGGTGACAAGACCTCCTGTCTTGTTTCTTGGAGTTTTCTCTCAAGCACTCAGAATTCTCACACAACTCCATTCTTGGACTCTGTTCCGACACGTTACTAATAGTACAAATAGACTGGCACGGGGAGCTGCTAGTCACTACCCTGACACACCAAGCCTTTTAACTGAAAGGGAAGACGGGAAATAGAAATTTCTTCAAACAGTTCTGGCTTTAAAATCTCAATTTTTTCATAAAGCAAGATTGTTAGCCTTTTAGCTGATTTTTTTTTTTGCAGAGCAGCCTGCTCTCATCATCAAGCAGTTTACTCTGCTTCTTTTTGAAAAACTTAACCTTTGTTTGTTTGTTTGTTTTAGACAGGGTTTCTCCGTGCAATAGCCCCAGCTGTGCTGAGACTAGCTCTCTACACCAGGCTAGATTCACCTCCGAGTGAGGGCTGGGGTTAAAGGCGTGTGCTGCCACCGCCCGGCTGATAAACTTTAACTTTTGTGTAAGAAGAAAAACAAAAAAAGCACAAGTGTCAGCCTTTCCACCTGCTGTTTCATTATCTGTGATTATTTTCCTCACACTGTTGCCTCCTGTATTTCCCAGCTTCTCCAAGGACAGAAACTAGAGAAATTCGAAAGATACTAAGGCCTGGGAAGTTGCTGATGGACGAGAGGGTCTTTCTTTGTAGTCTAGGCTGACCTTGAACTCTAGCTCCTCCTGCCTCAGCCTTTTATGTCTGTACCACTGTGCCTACCTTGGAGAATGAGGTTGTTGCTGAAAGGCAAGGAGCCTGAATAGAAGTTGAAGTCTTCAGAATGTGTGCATATTGCTGGACATATAGGTCAATGGTATGGTATTGCCTTACGTGGTCATGCCTGGCCTACATGAGCCCTTTTCTCAAATTTAAATGAGAAAGAAAGAAAAAAAAAGTGCATAGGTTGGTGAGTTGAATGGGTCAGAGAGTTGGGGGACTTAATAGTTGCCTGTTTAGTAACTTATATTTCTTACTGAATAAGGAACAAAGCCATCTCTGTAGTATGGTGTGAAAGGGGGGCTCCAGAGAATTTGACACTGCTTTAACGGAGAATGGATGCTCACTTGTTAATATTAGAAATTCATTTTGTAAACTCACCAGTTTTCTTGGTTTATGGGGTTTCTGTAGAAATCTTGTTATATGGAGTACAGGGACAGAATAATCATCTATCTGGATTAATTTAGGTTGAGATTTGTTCATGGAGATAGAATAATGGATTAAGGATATAAGAGAATGGTAGACAGTGTTTGAAGGATTATATTATAGTATATGAGCAAAGTAGGAAGTAATGGAAATGAGACAGAGTGGAAGAAAGTTAGTTCCAAAATTCTGGAGATCTAAATGAGGTAAAAGGCCTTTTGTAGGGACATGAGATACCTGGAAAGACATGTTTTATTCAGGAAGTGGGAAACTGGAATGGAGCAGAGTTCTGGATGATTCCTACAATGTAGGTTTTGGAATAAAAGGCATCCTTGAAACCCAGTGGTGGAGGCAGTCATTTGACATTAAAGAGTTAAAAATCCTGACAAACTGAGTGCTGGAGGATTAGATGGTTCATCTATACCAATGTTTAAGTCACCTTATAACATGGGTAGGTATTGGACTAGAGAACATCCTAAGTGCCAGATCTTGAGTGAATGAAGATTGGTGCCTAGGAGATTGAAGATAGTGTCTATAAATTAGATAGTGAACTAGCTGCGTGGTAGAGCCTCAACGTTGTGTTACTTTGTGGAGATTTATATTAATAAAACAGTGAGATGGTAGCTTGAGAGTCTACCATAATTGCTGTTTCCTTCCATGATCTTATACCTGTTCCTTTATTCTTCTGCTCCCACTTCTTACCTAATTGCTAGTTGTAAGACTTCTTTGTGTATGTGTGTGTCTGGGTGTATGCGTGTTTATATGGGGCCAAATGATCTTCCTCAGTTGCTGTTGACCTTGGTTTCTAGACAAGTTCGCTTACTTGGTCTGGAACTCACCAATTAGGCTAGGCTGGCTGGCCAGCTATCCTCAGGGATCCACCTATCTCTTCCTTCCCTGTGCTGGGATTACAGCATGTGCCACCATGCTTGGCTTTCTTAGAAGTAGGCCCTAGGGATCAGACTTAGGTGCTCATGCTTGTGTGACAAGCCCTTAACTAGCTGAGCTATGTTTTTAGTCCTAGTAAAGATTTGGGGGCTGGAGAGATGGCTCAGAGGTTAAGAGCACTGCTTGTTCTACCAAAGGTCCTGAGTTCAATTCCCAGCAACCACATGGTGGCTCACAACCATCTGTAATGAGATCTGGTGCCCTCTTCTGGCCTGCAGGGTTATGTGCAGGCAGAACACTGTATACATAATAAATAAATCTTTAAAAAAAAAGATTTGTTTATTTATAGAAAATAGCTAATGAACTACTGTGAGCTTGTTGAGTTTAAAGCTTGTTTGTCTAATTTCTTTGTGGCGACTAATTCTGGTTTCCTGGGGTAGGAGGAGTTAGACATTCGAACACTGCAATCCAAAAATCGTAAGCTAGCAGAAATGCTAGATCAGAGACAGGCCATTGAAGATGAACTTCGGGAACACATTGAAAAACTGGAGCGACGCCAGGCTACGGACGATGCCTCACTGTTGATTGTAAACCGGTACTGGAGCCAGGTAGCCACTTTGTATGTTTACCCAGATTCGTACCAGCATTTTCGTTCTTAGTGCTCGCTTAGTCTCCCAACCCTTGCCCCTTTCTTTTCTGTTAACTGTACATATTCTTCCTAGTTCGATGAAAACATCCGTATCATCCTCAGACGTTATGATCTGGACCAAGGTTTGGGAGACCTCCTCACAGAAAGGAAAGCCCTGGTTGTCCCAGAACCAGAGCCTGACTCTGATAGCAATCAGGAGCGCAAAGATGACCGTGAGAGAGGCAAGTGTTGGCGAGGAATCTGTCATTGCATTCGTTACCTGGCTGCTGTTTGAGCTTTGCTGTGAGGCTCGCCAGTTGAGGGGGACGGTGGATTTTATTCTGTCTAGCTTTATAATTTGGGAGCTTCTTTTTCTCTCCCTGTGTCTTTGGGGGGGATTCTGTAACTTGCATTAGTTACATAAGTTTTTGAAGTTGAACTTTGCTTTGAGGCTGTCCATTTGAAGGAAAATTTGATATTTCCAGATTTATAATTTTGGGGGCTTCTTTCTCTCCCCATGTTCTCAGGGGAAGGGCAAGAGCCAGCTTTCTCTTTCCTTGCTACCTTGGCCAGCAGTTCCAGTGAAGAGATGGAGTCACAGCTTCAGGAGCGTGTGGAGTCCTCCCGCCGTGCTGTGTCCCAGATTGTGACTGTATATGATAAATTGCAAGAAAAGGTGGAGCTCTTGTCTCGGAAACTGAACAGTGGAGGTGAGGAGAGAAACTGGAGACCGGGAGGCTGGGGACGGGAAGAACTCAGTTCTGTGAGGCTCAGGGTGCAGCTCAGCGGTCGAATGTGCCTAGCTACACATTGGGCCCTGGCTTCTATTCTCAGCACCAAAAAGCAGAAATGAAGAGGCTCAATTTCATTAAATTCCATGGAGTTTTAAACCTCGTGAATCTCAATGTAATTAGCATGACATGCTAACTTTTTATAAGTAGCAGAATTAATTTTGACTGTTCTGACTTCAAAAGGTGAGTTTTAATGTATTCTTTTATTGTTGATGTTCTTAAAGAGAGTTAGATGAGATAGTGAAGTATGACTCCTGTGTTTGAAGAGATAGAATAGGAAACCAATGGGTGGAAAAGTCTTAAAATAAAATTACCATTTGGAAGAATACTATTACTGAGTTTTTTTTTTTTTTT